AAAATACCTCATGTAAGTTGTTTGGTCTTTCACAAAATGCTGCATAACTGAACAACTAAAGCAAGGTGATTTCTACACACTAGTTGTCACAGCGTATGTCAGATGTTAATAAACATCCCCCATCTTCATCAGGTCAAATACATGGGGACAGTACAATGGTTATAATCAGAAGGCAGCAAACACAGGCCCCATCTCACTTCTAGTATTTAATCTTCCCAATTTTGGAAAGCTGCTTCTTTTAAAGTAGAATGTCTTTTTAACGTTACCTCATATACTGTCCTGCCCAGGGGACTTTGGAGTCTTTGCAGAACATTACTCTTAATCTCTCACTTTTTTAAGGGCTTATGAAGTATGCTTTAAATTATACTTTGGGTGATTTGGCTATTTTAACTGAGATGCCTGAAGAACTCAGGAGTTTCTAATGGAGGCCTCCCCTTCCCCCACTTTCAACACCTGTTTAATTACTACTTGATTAAGATCACATTTTCTGGTAGTAGTAGGAGTATGGTAGCACTTAAGAGTTCCAGTATTGGATTAACACCCCAGTGCCTGTTGCCATTTACAGAAAACTGCTCCCAAGCAAAAGCGGCAACCCAAAAGCAAGCACAAACTTGCTTTGTTGCAAGAGTAGTAAGTGGACCACAGAAAAGATGTTGCTACCTTAAATAGTTGTGTGGGGAAAACCCAAGAAGCATGTTGAAAGAGAATGAAATTAAACTTGCTACAAAGACATTTCCAGGAGCACAAAGTAAAACATACTAACATTCATGGTATTTTTAAGATGGCCTTAAGGGGAGGCCACACCAAGATTTACAGTGAACTGCCTGTCAGTTCTCTCCAGTAATATTCACTGGCAATCTCCGAAAATCCTTCTTTTCAGAGCTTACAGAGATTTCTGTTTGTTTGATTCAACACCAAATTTGCCATAGGTTACAAAACCTGTGGGCAACACTGGCATACTATGGGCTCCTAAACCTCTCCCTCTGCTCCAAAGCTATATCAGAGCCAGATTCCCTCAGTGTCAAGCACCAACAAATTATCTCCCCTTTTTGTCCCTCTACCACCTCTGCAAAAGGTATAGTCAATCAGTAGCAACACACAAACCAGCAGAGGAACATAATGCAAAGGACATCAGAGGCAAGAATGCAAACAGATTAGAAGAGTGTTATTCTGAGAGTGATAGGAGATACATCCACAGAAGCAGTGTTCGTAACAGTTTCCAGCTCAGGAGGACAGTAAGGACCAGCTGATGGGAACTGAGTGCTCACAGTAGTTTATAACATTATTCACCCAAGTTCTTATGATCCTCATAAAATACTCCTTACTACCCACCATGGGAAATCAGTATACTGGCTCAGGTGGATCTGTACTGGTCCAGCACAGTACAGATTCTCCTGGGGAAATTCAGGAAATCACAGTCCTTTCCACCTTACTTCTTTACAGACCCCCTTTAAAGTTCACCATAAGACAGAAACAAGAAAGAGCACAGAAGCCCTATGTTCTCCACTGCTTTAGGTGTTCATGTGTTATTTCTCAGTGAGCTCTCTAACCAGAAAACAACCAGTGACAGACAGGAATGCAGAATATCCTGGCTCCAGCAGATCTCCTTACAAGTCATAACATTGATATCTGCCGTGACTAGCAGCCAGCTAGCAACTTCTGACTCTGGATCCAGAAGAAGACACTGAAAAATTCAAACACGAATCCTTTCAAAGTGCCCTGCAGATCAACAGAGTGCATCTTTCAGCACGGGAGGTTCAGATTCAAACTGGGATTAAGCCAGAGCACACAGAGTCTGATGGACTCAATTTAGCCTCTTGCAAATATTTGCCAACATCATAAAACCATCACTCTGGTATGCACAGAACTTTCTCCTCGGAAGAAAGATCAGAATGACATAAACTATCATAAACTGTGGCTTGGATGTAGTCACCCAACTGGTGGACAGAAAGTTGACACCATCTGCTTTGCACTGACATTCAGACAGTACCATGCAAACTTCATTTTATAAGCATTATGTAAGCTAAATTCAATCAGATTCTGAAGGTGAAAAACCATGAAAAGTTGATAAGATTCTTTGTTCAGTATTTATATAATTTAACCCATTTATTGTAAATCTGTGATTTCTTTCATTTACAATTTAATTCCTAAAGTTCCAGTAACAGTATTTTTTGCACAACTTACCTGCTACATACTGTAAATTTTATGAGGAGTTATGACTCCAAGGAAGCTACTGCTCCTCAAGGAACCTACTATTACTCCACTAGGAACCTACTATACTCCACTTAGCAGACAAAAAGCTCGGCCACTAAAACATTTACTGAAAGCAACAAGGAAGCCTGTGGAACTGAACCATGAACTGAAGTCAGATCTTGTCAGTCTGTTTCCTCCTAAGACAGGTACGCACAAGCCGTGGTAGTAAGCCAGCTTTTAAAAAGCCCGGCTTACAACAGATTTTATCTCACTTTTACAAATGGGAGAGAGTAAACAATTCAAATACACAATGTGAAAAACTACACGCTAAATCTAAAACTCCTAGAACTTTCTGAGAAGGAAGGAAGCTCACTATGCACTATTCAAAGGGAGGAAGCTCACTTATGTACTATTCCAAAGTTGTGTGCATGTCAGCATGTAGAGACAAATAATTCTTTCAATGTATTGCTCAAATTTTATTACTTTCATCCACACATTACATGTCAGTGTGAACAGTACTAACTGAACTTCCAGTTTAACTTGTCATCAAATCCCACAATACCAGGACTAGCGACACTTGATGGAACTAGTATGGTAATAATTTAAAGCAGATAAATTAAACACTTCACACAGCAGGCAGTGATTCTGGAGCCTGCTGTCCCAGGACACCATGGAGAGAAACAACATCAGCAAGTCGAAAAACTAATTTATGGATAGCAGGTCCCTAGAGTTCACAACAGAGATATTCCCCAGACATCCCTGGTGCAACAGTGCTGCAGGAACAGGTAGTAGAGCACAGGGAGCAGCCAGACCCTTTTGCTGTCATTCAACCGCATCTTCCACTGACAGTGCTGGAGTCAGCACTAGATGAGCAGACTTGGGGTCTGATGGATCTGGGCATTCTCATGCTATCAGTACCTCTCTGCCCTTTGCCAACATGCCAATGATACTCAAATTCCTCCTTTGCAACCTTTTCAGCCACAGAAAGGATGGAAGAACATGCTTTTACTGTGAGAATCAACTTTTACACAGTCATTTTGTTACCTAAAGATCTATGTAAATACCAGATGACCGTTTAGTCCTCCAGCTCAATATAAAGTAGTGGGGAAAAAAAAAGAAAATTAAAAGGTGCATGTAGAATGGATTCAACCCATCAGGATGCAGATTTGAGAGTAAAACACACAGTGATCTTCGGTTTAATGTCCATTACTATGTTTGCAAAGTTACAAAGTTCTTCTGTTCTTATTTTCACATTCTCACAAAAGAATGCATTATTAGCCTTGTGGGATGAATAAAAAAGATAAAAAAGATTCATGTACATGTTCTACAATATGTTTAAAAAGGTTTAAAGCAAAAATGCAGAAGAAAGCCTAGTTCTCCTTAAAAAAGAGGTAATGTCACTCTACTTAAGAGGTCTCAATGGAAATGTATTGATAATGTTGCAAAGAAGCTGCATCTGGCTGATGAAGTCAAGGCATAAGAAGCTGCAAGAATATATTGTGATGGTTATACTATATGGTTGCCTTCTAATGTTCTTCTGTAGGCAGCAGTTACTGGCTACTGTGAGACACAAGATTACTGCTGGACATGGAGATTTGATTTAATCTGATACCGTGTTCATACTAACAGTTACTGGTGAATAGACCTAACTGAAAGCAGAACGAATGTCTTATCATCAAGTAATAATGCAGAGCCCTACATTTTAGGTGAAACATTTGATGGTGTCTCATGCTACACTGACACATCAGAGCACCTCCTTTCATTCATTCCAATGCCTATGGCAACATCAGAGAATCACAGAATCATAGAATGGTCTGGGTTAGAAAGGACCTTAAGATCATCTAGTTCCAACCCCTCTGCCATGGGCAGGGATACCTCGCACTAAACCATGTCGCCCAAGGCTCTATCCAACCTGGCCTTGAACACTGCCAGGTTTGAAGCATTCACAACTTCCTTGGGCAACTCATTCCAGTGCCTCACCACCCTCACTGTGAAGAACTTCTTCCTTACATTTAATCTAAACTTCCCCTGTTTTAGTTTGAAGCCATTACCCCTTGTCCTATCGCTATAGTCCCTAATGAAGAGTCCCTCCCCAGCATCCTTATAGGCCCCCTTCAGATACTGGAAGGCTGCTATGAGGTCTCCATGCAGCCTTCTCTTCTCCAGGCTGAACAGCCTCAACTTCCTCAGCCTGTCTTCATACGGGAGGTACATCGACTAAGAAAACCATGAAAAGCAAAACCAGAGCCAAGCCTCAGAAAAGAAATTTCTCAAGCTCACCTTTAGAGCTCATCCCTTTTATGAATCTCATTTAATTTGCACCAAAACTGTTGAAGTTTCTCCTCACCTTTCAACAAGATAAGAGGTTTCTTCACCAAGGAAAAGCAGTCTGAAAAGGTAGCCTGGTTCAACAGCACAGGCAGATAGCTTTGCGTTGGAGTGCTTTAGTATGTTTTTATATTGCATATAAAGCATGCAAACGTAAACCAGTTTGTTGAAAACTACCTTCTTTGTGGAAGCTGGCTGTAATTCTGAAC